TAGATAGTATGTGATTAATAGAGTTATCTCTACACAGAACTTGATTCGCAGAATGTAAGACAGGAACGCCTATTTATTATAGAATGTTTTTTATAATCTGTTTTAAAGCATCGAATTCGAACAGTATGATACTTTACAATATAATTCAGCTGTCGCAATTCATCAATTTTTTTACTTGAAATTTTTGAAAATTGATGAATTGTAATTTGACAAAATATCTTTCACAAGAATTCATATTTTTTAGTGAGCTTTCATGAATTTCGATTACTTACGAATATGATATTTCATCCTATTAAAGATCTTGTCCTGATCTGAATGCTTATAAAAATCACTACGAACGATGTAAATTTCTTCAATTAGTACTTGTTTATCAATATCCTATGGGCTGATTTTTCTTTTCATTATTTGTTACTAAGTTTTCGCTGGGTGTGGATGTGGGTGTCGGTAGGAATGAAGGGAACATAAACACCCACATCCACACACCTACACCCCACACCATTGTCCAATTTTTTTCTATTTTAAACTGTCTGAACACCTCAATTCACAGTAAGTATTAGTTTTTAAAAATTACTATTTTGTTTTATTTACATCATATGATAATCATAATGAGCGGTAAATATTAAATAATAAAAAAAAATATTGTTTTTTTATTTAGGTCATGTCAACGAAGGGTAAGTATTATTTTAATAGAATAGATTTTTTTTCTTTCTTTAGGTGGTCTGATCATCTTAATAAACAGTAAGTATTGATTCATGCAGATAAATAGTCTTTTTCTTCTATGTAAGTCATCTCAACATTTCAATAAACGATAAATATTGTTCAATAAAATAATTTTTTATTCTTTTATTGAGGTCATCTGATCATCACAATGAACGGATAAATATCATTGTATACGCATATATTCGTTTTTATTTAGATCGTCCGATGGTCTCAATGAATAATAGGTATTATTTTATTTTATTTTTTTGTTTTATTTACTGCGAATGGGGAGAATGATATTGTCTCATTCGCAAGTAGAAGTGTCGACTTAGCATAAGCATTAGGATAATGCTAAGAGCAACACTTATTACGATTCTAAGAGAAAAATATTGCAATTTTTATTAAGTAATATAATGGTAAAGCGAAGCTGTATCCCGGAGTAATTTAATAAAACTGAAACATAAAAGAAATGAAATTAGTCAGGGATACTTCTTCGCTTTAGCATGACAACAATCCATACACGTTTCAATCCTTTTCTCTTATGATTGTAACACAAAGATATTGCTGTTAGTATTAATTTAACGATGATGCTAAGCCGACACTGCGATTGGCGAGAAACCTGTATAAGTACGTTGGTAAGAGACAATGGTAAATTGATCGAGACCTAGTCATAGTCGTAGGTTCAAATGCTTGACCAGGTTCGATCATTGGAAATATGATTTGAATAATTGCGCTTTCGACGACATGAGAAATTTCTACTCTATACACTTCAACACTCCTTTCAGATCGTATTTCACAAAAATAATTAGAGATAGTATATCGCTGCTGCTTCTTTCTTTTTCGTATGAATATTGCCGGCTATTTGATCCGACTAAAATGCGTAGCGTCTGTATGAAAAGAAGAAGAAGAAGAAGATATGATGTGAATTAGAGAGTAGCGGGTCCAGGTTTTTATGGACCCGGACCCGGACCCGGTCGGGTTCAGACCCGTTAAGTGTTTCGCCAATATTTAGCACCATCTGTATATAGGAACAAGTAAAGACTCACGGTTTTAGCTAATTATTGGCTATTCTCAGAGGAAAAGTGTATATACAGGTATTTCCTGTTGTTCACTTGTTCATCATGCAACATGATGCTTAATAATTAAGATTTTATTGCTTAACTGAAAAGAACATTATGCCAACCAAAAAAGCAAATTAGAGAATTAATTGATAATCAAAACTCATCATTAAAAATTCCCAAACCAACAGTAACTTATTAATATTCGTCTACTTTTTTGTTTATTTTTCTTGTTTTTTTCAACTTCATTTGTTATTTGTATTTCAAATAACTTTTTAATTTCAAAACTAAAAATAGCAAGAAATTTTGAAATAGAATACAGAAAATATTATACGATGACCTAAACTCTTCAGTACTTAGATTAGACTCGCAGTTGAATGCAAACCGGGTCGGAAAGTAAATCACATATGGACCCGGACCCAGGCCCGGACCCGGGTGATATCAAATTTCTAGACCCGGACCCAGACCCGGACCCGGGTGGCATTCATTTTCTGGACCCGGATCAGGGTCCGGGTCTGGACGGACCCGCTACTCTCTACTGGTGACTAACGGTCAACGGATCGTCTGAAACCGAAAAATATGTGGTAGTACTTTCCAATTGTAAAAGACTACTCGAAGAATATGACACGTTCTTCAAGAAATGTGAGGAGAACAACAAATCCTGATTATTCTGCTCTTCATTCTTCCAAACCTATAATTTTTAACTGCTGCTAAAACTGTATGGTATATGGTTTCAAAGACACGTTTACACTATTGAAAAACATGAAATTGTTTAACACATCGTCTCCATATGAACAAATAAAGTTTAAAGAGTTACGATCGTTCTAACCAAGTTTTTGGGGCATATCAAACACTTTTCACAGTTTTGATGGATGTTTGTATGAGTCAGAGATGGGATCGGTTCAGGTTTTTTAAAATTTAAACCGAATCGAAAAATAGATGTTTCATGTCAATAAAAATTTAATGTTTTTTTACTATGTTTTAAGTTCGAAATAACTTCTGCTACAGATAAAGATTGAAAATAACAGGACGCACTCAATGTATGAGTAAGTGACAACGGTAATTAGCAGATGAAGCAATTCGTTGCACGGCGGGAACTTCGTCAGTATGACTTCCATCAACAAAGTATTCACCAATCGGCGAATATCCTGTGTACTTTGACTAACGTTTTTCATGTACTTACTCCGGCATGCATCCCAAAACTCGACCAACTTAAGTAGACATAAAACATAGATGAAAAACTTTCTATTGGCTATGATTAGTTTGTTTTCATTCTTTGTTTCACAGACAATGAATGACAAGAAAATATATCAATATGGTCATTGATACTTTTGATATCTCTTCTTATTCAATTTTCTTGAATTATACATCATATAAGATTGTTTAAACTGTATCAATTTAACTAAGAACCGAACTGATCCCATCTCTAGTGTGAGTGTAGATCTAAATCTGAATGTTTGTCTCTTCTTTGCACCCACACCCTAATTCCTCTCAAGTTATCATCAATCTAACTTTTCAAAGAAAATCGATCAGAAAAAATGCTTTATGTCATTATGATCAGCTAACTGTGGTATAAAAATATGGCATATAGTCAACGGAAATGAAAGATTCAAACTTGGGTATCTTTTTTTCACAAGGCTTGTAAAAAACATATTCATCAAAAATCAATTATGATTTTGATTGAGTTCGAAAAAGATTTATTCATTAATCATTGTTTTCGTTTCGCTTGGATTTATTTTTTAAGATTATGACGGATATACAATATGCACAACCTTGAATTTATATGAAATAAAAACTTCGTTTTGGCTACGAACGGTTCAATGGACCTTAAGTGTGCAATATTCCTTCTAGAATATTTAAATGTAACAAATGAACAACGACAATTTGAAGAACAATATGATTTAGAAAAATCCTCACCATCGAACCAACTACATGAATGTGATGTTCGACTTCAAACTCTCGTATTACGTAGTTTGCCATTCAATCAACTTATAATATTACTCAACTCACTTCGTATGCCTTTCTTAAAGAAATTAATCTTGATTGATATATTTAATGAAAGTATCATTAACTGTTATAGTACATATAGTTGTTAGTTTTTTTTCCTATCAGAAGAATCTAATGCAATAAAAAAAAGTACTTAGGATGTACCAAAAGTTCGAATGACGATGTTTAAAATTTTATAAAACAGTAAATATTGAATGTTTTATTATGGGAGTGTATAGTATAACGTCTCGCCTTTAATAATCTATAGAGCAGCTCTACCACGTAGGTAAAGTTAGCACCATATTCGAGTTTTTTGCGTCCGAATTTCCTTTTTGACTTGGGTTGGCTCTCTACTTGGTTAGGTTATATGCAGAATTAAATTCTGCATCGAATGGTGCCACGTTCGACTAGGGTCATCGAGCAAAAAACTCACTTATACTCGAAATACTGACTTATTTTGGGGAACTTTTCCAAAAGTATTTCGCGTCCCGATTCGCTCTCTCACTTGGATTGGCTCTACAAATGGTTGTGTTGAGTTCAGAATTAAATTCTGCGTCGAATGATACCAATTTTGACTAGAGTCGTCGGGCAAAAACAGTAGATGGAAGTAGCAGTGTCAGGTCGAAATTTCTGGTCCTCGCTCACGTTCACCTGTCGATTTTGCCCGACAACTCTAGTCGAAATGGGCATAATTCGACGCAGAATTTAATTCTGAACTCAACACAACCATTGATAGAGCTAACTCAAGTGAGAAAGCGAATCGGGACGCGAAATACTTTTGGAAAAGTTTCCAAAAAAAGTCAGTATTTCGAGTATAAGTGAGTTTTTTGCTTGATGACCCCAGTCGAAAGTGGCACTATTCGATACAGAATTTAATTCTGCATATAATCCAACCAAGTAGAGAGCCAACCCTAGTCGAAAAACGAATCCGGGCGCAAAAAACTCGAATATGGTGCTAACTTTACCTACATAGCTCTATCTTGGATTTAGTTCTAACATCCTGCTAGACTAAGCCTATAATTTAGCGACTATGCTAATATTTAACTAATCTTTGTCCAATGTTCAGGTATATTCTGAAACTTTCCATATTTTCCATTGGTCACTCTCTCTCGTCACATTTTATGAGGTCATGTTCTAGAATATTACATTTCGATAGTATATATAGATGAGAGATCGTTCACTGTCAGCTCATTTGTATCGCACCCGACTTCAAATCGTGATAGAATCTAATTTCAACTTTAAAGCGATCTATTAAACATGACTGATGAATTTAATCGTTACTATATCAGAATTCGAGCTATTTTAGGAATAGATTCAAAAACAATCTTCGACGAACTTACAGAGGCATTGGGATCTGATGCTTCACATTATGCAATGGTCAAAAAATGGACGAAACGTTTTCGTGAAGGAAGAGAAGATGTCAGTGATGATCCTCGATCTGGCCGTCTGATTTCGGTACTTACAGATGAAAATATTGAGCTTGTTCGACAAGTGATCGAAGATGACCCACACTCAACTTATGATGATGTTACAGTTGAAACTGGTCTATCTTGTGATACAAAAGAACGAATTATTCATGATTGTCTAAAGATGAGAAAAGTTACATCACGTTGGGTTGCTCATTAACGCACTGACGAAAAACAAACAAGAACGATTTAGAATTTTGCGTCAAAATTGAGAGAAATTCAGAAACGGAACATGATGGCTATGTGATATTATTACTGGTGATGAGACATGGATTTATCACAGACAGATTGGCCGGAAGTCAAGTAATTCTACCTGGGATTGGTGAAAATGAACCACCAAGGACCGTTATTCGTCAGCATAGATCTGAACCTAGAACACCGTTTTGCTTATTCTTTAAATCCACTAGTCCTGTTCTTATACATAAAGTAGATAAATGCAAGACGATCGATCACAACTACTATATTGAAAATTGTCTCATACCTGTTATCAATGAAATACGAAAAAAAGGAAAATCATCACGCACAAAATATAAACTGCTTCATGATAATGGTCGTCCTCATACTCATCGAGATGTTGTTAATTATTTAACAGAGGAACGTATCGAAATAATCTCACATCCACCACATTCACGAGATTTTGCACCGTGTGACTTTTGGCTAGATGATTATATCAAGAGGAATTTGGCTGATCATACAAATGAAGAATCGCTGGTTCAGGAGGTTTCCAACATAGTGAAGAATATTCGAATAAACGAGTTTAAAAAGATTTTCTATAAACTGTTAGAAAGGATGGAACTTTATATAGAAAATAATGATAATTATTTTGAGCATTTAATAAAATAAAACTACGAATATTTCTTTCTTTTTGTATTCTGGTTTTATATTGTCAGGATCTTTTCTTGGCCATAAGTACAATAGATTTTATCTAGCAAGATATTAGAACTAAATCCAAGATAGAAGTGCTCTATAGATTATTAAATACGAGACGTTATACTATATATTCCCATAATAAGACATTCAATATTTACTGTTTTATAAAATTTTAAACATCGCGATTCCAACTTTTGGTACACCCTAAGTACAATCAAACAAACAAATTAGATAGCGATCGTCTTTGATCAATTTTTTGCCAATCTTACTCACTAAGAATGCCTCTATAGCGATGTCACAAACTCTGTTGAAAATTACAGCTCATTTCAATTAAAGATCAGTCTATAGCAGATGTCCATATGAAAATTTCTACAGTTGAAACACAATTACGATCCTCTTACGACACCAGACATGTACAAAGACAAAAAATTTTCCTGTGAGAATTACATAGGAAAAAAAGACAAATATTGAAAATGGAATAGACTTGGTAGCTTGGACGTCGAAAGACGCTGCCAGCTACATCAACACTCATCAATCAAAATTCACACCCATGTCCTAATCTCTTGTAAAAGTATTAACCAATTAGCGACACGTTCTTTCGTTAGTTCTATTTTATTCTTTTGATTTCACATTAATTTTGTTAACTAATCGTGGTGATGAATCAATCAATGCACTCTCTGCTATTGTTGCTGACGATTGTACAATTAGTTGAGTTGAGATAACTGCCTGATGTGCTTTTCTTAGTAACTAGTTCCAATAAATTTTCAAAACTTCCACCTTCAGTTGGCATCATCGATCTGTATATTTGCGGTAACCATATGCTAGTGTTAGCTAATATTCAGTCTTATTTATTACTTTAGAAACAGCAAAAAAAGCTTAGAAACAAAAAAAACGCTATAATCATAGTAATCAATCACTCTAACGAGAAAGACATCTATTACATCTTCTTTTTCACGCATTCAATGCTATTTCTGACTAGAGCAATATGCGGATGCGATGGAGGAAGACTTTTTTCGTTGATATCAAGTGCTCGTTCGAAAAACGAAAGTGCTTTTTTGTAATTGCCCATATTTTGATACACCATACCCATATTTTTATAGGACTGTGCAAAGTTCGGATGGTTTGGAGGAAGAGATTTTTGACAGATATTAATTGCTTGTTCGAGAAATGGAAGCGCTTTTACGTATTCGCCCATGTTTTGATATGCCATAGCCATATTGTTGTAGGATTGTGCAAAGTTTGGATGCTCCGGAGGAAGAGTTTTTTGGTAGATGTCAAGCGCTCGTTGATGAGATGCCAATGCTTTTGAGTACTTGCCCATTTCAGAATATACTTTACCGATGTTGCTGTAGGAAGTAGCCAAGTCCGGATGATTTGGAGGAAGAATCTTTTGGCGGATATCAAGTGCTCGTTCATAACATGAAAGTGCTTTTGAGTATTCACTCATGTTAGAATATACCCATCCGATGTTGTTGTAGGATTGTGCAAAGTCTGGATGATTTGGAGGGAGCATTTTTTGGCAGATATCAAGTGCTTGTTCGTAAAAGGAAAGTGCTTTTGCATAGTCACCCATGTTAGAATGTACCAAACCAACAGTGTTGTAGGAAGTAGCCAAGTCTGGATGATTTGGGGGGAGAATATTTTGGCGAATATGAAGTGCTTGTTCGTAAAATGAAAGCGCTTTCGTATATTCGCCCATGTTAGAGTATATCAAACCAATATTGTTGTAAGAAGTAGCTATGTCTGGATGAGTTGGTGGGAGAATTTTTTGGCGAATATCTAATGCTTGTTCATAAAAAGAAAGTGCTTTAGAATATTCACCCCTGTTGGAATATACCAAGCCAATAGTGTTGTACGAAGTAGCCAAGTCTAGATGGTTTGGAGGGAGTGTCTTTTTGCGGATATCAAGTGCTTGTTGGTGAGATGCAAGTGCTTTGGAGTATTCTCCCATGTTAGAGTATACCAAGCCAATGGTGTTGTACGAAGTAGCCAAGTCTGGATGGTTTGGAGGGAGTGTTTTCTTGCGGATATCAAGTGCTTGTTGGTGAGATGCAAGTGCTTTGGAGTATTCTCCCATATTAGAATACACCAAACCAAGTTGATAGTTGTAGTTCGCTCGATCGTTAGCTTTGTGTGCATTGTCAACAAGGATTTGGTAGAGTTGTTCTGCTTTAGCAGAGTGGCCCATTTTAATAAGTATATCACCTAGTCGAGACCACCCTTTCGTCCAGCTGAGCTCTTTGCGCATGTGTGCGGTGAGTGCGTTTAAATCATGATCATCGTTGCCTGTGAAAGTTAGATTGACTTGCCATAGTCGCTCAGTATCGTGATCATCGATATGTTTGATTTGATCGATACGAAAGATTGTGTGCGTAGAGAAGAGAATTTCGGAACCTTCGTCGCTGAAAAAACTGAGATTGTTGACGTCAACATAAGGAGTTGAAGATGTTGCACACAGTTTCGGATCAATGATCATGACAAATAGTATACCAACTGAATCAGAATCCTGAAGTGCTGCTGGACGTGCGAAGGCATTCAATGAAAGATCTCGATCACGACTGGTTGAAAGGAAGTTGTTAAATGACATAAGTCCCCCTTTAGTTTGTTTAACTTTTTCAAAGTCCTGCAAAGATAAACCCTGTCCTCGGTATACTGTTAGAACTTTCGCTGTTTTCACCTTGGATTGTTGTTCACGATGTAACTTTTCAATATGTCGATGTAGATGTCGAATAAAGAAACCCATTTTTAGAATGATGTCAACGTCTAGCAATCGTAAACCTCGATTGAGCATTGAATAGATAAAAAATGGTGCTGTATACCACCAAATAGGTGTGTGTTGATGATATTCACGTTCAACGCTTTCAATCTCGTCTGTAGCAATATCATTTTGAAGACGACAGTACTCGGCAAATTCTCTAATAGATTTGTTATCACCATCCTCATCATCATTAATTTCCAAGAGAGCTTCTTTAATTAATTGTGTGTACATAAAAGATGCATCAATGCCTCGAAAACTGATCGAGATCAATGCTCGATCACATCGTGCACTATCATTTTGTAATGCCTTACAGATCGACTCGATATTAGTGTGAACACCTTTTATCTTTAAGATGTTTTTGGCCCATTGTTCATGCACCGATCGATTGTTACAAAATACATAAATTGAGTGCAATTGTGGCCATGTGTAAATTTTTGGTACAATATGTTGTCCAAGTGAACCAGAAACAATCATAAATGCCTTTTCTGATTCTATTTCGCGAAGAAAATCAGTACATTCTTGAACATTTGTAAATGTCGTGATCGATGCTACGATATGTCGAAGGTGAGCTAATGAATTTTTGAAATCTTCTTGCGACTCATCAATATTGGCGTCGAGCCAGATGAGAAGAAAATTTTGTAGCACACGCCGAACATTATGTAGACTTACCCGTGTGTTATGTAGACTAACGCCTGTATTATGTAGAGTGGTGGTGGTGGTTGCTTTTTCTGTTGTTGCTGCACTAGCAGCACTTGTTTTTGATGGGTTTTTGTCCATGTAACGCGATGATGAATGAAACGAGTATGATTGCGTCTCGTTATATATATATATTTTTCTTGTCTTTCTTTTATCAACACATTTTTTTTCTGGCTGGTTGTTTCTATAGGAATGAGTGTATTTTTTTTTGTCACATGCAGCACTTATTTGCATTCATTAGTTTGCTTGAAGGGTATTGTTGACAAAATGGTGACGAGTAAGTTTCGATGATTCAACCAAGAAAGGAAGAAGAAGAACGAAAAGGAATGAAGACAAATACTTCGTCATTCAAAGAAAAGAAAAAAATCATTGTGAATAAAATGCGACAGTGTTGTTCTTGCTGTTGTTCTGACTTCATTGCCAAATTTTTCTCCGACGTACTAGATATAATGATTATTGTCTTTTATTCCTACACAATTGAACCAAAGTTTTATCAATTTCTTCTTATGATCTGAACTGAAATAGATAAGTTTTCAAAAAAAACTGATCCACACAAACTCATACACCCTTAACAATGGCGGTTGATGAAGATTTGAATAAGGCATTCAGTGTCACTTGACTAGGGTGTGAATGTATTCATGGATGGATGTGAGCGGATGTGGGTATAGGTGTGGGTGGCCGCGTGGGTGTGGGTGTGGGGATGGGCGGGTGTGGATGTGCATGTGGAGTGTGGGTGGGTGAGTGTGGATGTGGGTGTGTGGGTGTGGCTGTGGATGGGCGTGAGTGTGATGTATGGGTCTGATTAGTCTACACCAACAATCACAGCCTCACCATCACTCACACCCACACCTACACCCCAAATGAACATTGATAATGGAAAAACACTTGCACACGAATCCGTTTGGAAACGCAGAGTCATAAAAGAAAGCTTACTCACTCACTACGCACATGAAAATGCAATAAACGAAGTGAAATACAAACTCAAAATATTCGGATAGCACCTCTAGGTGCAATTTTATGGGTCCGAAACGCCTGGTCTAACGAACAAAAGGAGCGCTCATTCTAAAATAATCTACTCATTCAAAAAGTAGCCAACTCATTCATACATATATAATACTCTCATTCACAAACAATCGTCATTCTTCATCTACTTTCGTTTGTCTTAACTTATGTCTTATTGTATTGTTCTTATTGTGAATTTTTGTATTTATTCTGATGATGACAAAGGAATATTGTCGAAATATCAACAAATAAATACGACGTGATTAGTTAAATCACAATGTTCGTCGCAGTTCTACATTGCGTTTTCTCTAAAAATTGACATATTTGCCTGACTGAGTCCGAGTGTTTTTAAAAAGTATTATATTGGTCGTAATGTATGTATGTCATCTGTAGTGTCACGAACCGGTGGTATTGATTCACTTTGATTCTTAACAAGCTGTCGGGAGTACTTAAATGATTGTCTACCAGATTGTCCAGGCTGCATTATCCACTCTGTGATACAGATTATTTGACGATGTTGTGGTGGAATACAATCATGTGTGACAAATGAATTTCGAGAGTGACGAATATTTCTTGATTCACTCATGTCTACATCGACGTTGAGATGATATGTCGTTGATAGATTCTCAATAACCATTATCGTCAACTTCTGATTCTTCGGTGTAGTATAAAAAGTTGTATTATCGAACTATTTGTAAAAAGAAATAGATTACGTGAAGAAAAATAAAAACTATAAATCATACTTCTTGTGGTTTTTCACAACTTTTCATCACATATGCAATGAGAGAATCAGCAAGAAATGTTGTTTTTTCATTGCCAAGTAGTCCCTCTATTTGAACACTGGAATGTATGACCAATGTAAAACCATTTAATTCTTCTGTTTGTTCATGTCGATGCCAGAAACTGGTTGAAAATGGTATGATATAATATATACCTGGTCGTAATGATCCACTCCAATAGGTACATAGTTCGCGTTGACTGTGTAGAATAAAATTATGTTTATCAGTATTTGTTGATTCGTCGACTACCTCGCACAAAATGAATGCTTGTGTAAGATTAACGTCTGATTTTCGATGATAATGGTGATAAAGCATGCTCACATTGATCAACGATATTCTAATTAATTAATAGTATTAAGATATGAACTAGATTCAGCATTTTTTACGAGAAAAAATATAGTTTATTCTTCTCCAAATACGATATGTCACATCGAAATACTCCTTTTACTTTTCTGATTATCAATTTTAATTTTCGAAGCAATTAGTCAATTTGTCTTTTCTTAAACAAACATTCCTATTTATAATACATACTGTGGTACATGAAAATAAAAGACGGTAATAGGATCCGTTGGTAATCGAGTAAATTTAGCCTGTTCACGTATATCAAAGTAGTTGTTAACATATGTTGAAATTGTTAATTTTGAGAAAAAACGAAGAAATTTCGTCCACTCAATCCAAAAAGCTCCCGTCGAGCGATGTGCATTATTTATAGTACGTAATTGAGTAAGAACTTTGGGAGTAATATATTCATCCCTATAACATGAACAAGCATGTGGATCACGTACGAGTACAAAACGGACTGAGTCTTTATCAGTTGCATGTGTTGCTAAGATTGAAAATGCATGATTGGAATTTATTCGAATTTGATCATACATATCCTTGCTTACATCGTGCCGACCTGTCGAAGCACCAATCAACAAACTGAAATTTTAGCAAAAAATTAACAAGCATTAATAATTTGATAAATTTACTTTGCTTGACAACAAGATACGAGTTTTGCCCAAACAATATCACTATCGATTGGTTCATCCGAACGATCGAGATGAATATAATCACATGGTGCACCAGTAAATAATTGAAGAGCTTCGGCCATTTGACCACTTGTTAAATTCGAATAAGAACCAAAAAGTTTAGCACATGCTTTTTCAATAATTGGAATAAATAGTTGTCGACGTCGAGCCTTGGTGAAAAGAAGCGTACCGTCTTCATAACATGGAAAAAAATCATCAACAATAATTGTTGTCCATAAACCATTATGACATAGACGAACGAGGTAAATTCCTTCAGAATTCACATTTTGTGTGAGAAGAATATGTCGAAGTATGCCTGGTCTTTCAACGATAAGAGATAATGCAGCAATAAGCCAACAATTTCCTAAGAGACCTTGTTCAATATCGCTTGGTTTTGGTGATGACATGACTGTCCACTCAAGTTGATCATCATCCTTAGAAGATGAACGAATATCTGCAATGCGAAACCATTGGAAGACATCATGCGAAAATCTATCACCTAAAGAACTTGATGAATGAGGAAATTGATTGTCGACAAAGTTTGTTTTATTCTAAATAATAAAAACAAATTTTGAAAGTATGTATTGATCAAAGATTACGAAATTACTTTATGACAATCTTTGATAATATTCCGAAATGTTCTCTCTGCTTCTGTTTCATCTCTATGTCGACGATCACGAACACCCATTGACATGTATTTTGTAGCTAAAGAGGAGGCCATTGATATTTTTGTATTCATTAGAGTTACACTGGTTGTCGGTTTTTCAGTATTAATCAGCGTCGTAGTATTTGGCGACGTTTCGATGTTCATAAGACTCATATTGGTTTCTGATGAATTATTTTGCTATATTATAAATAGAATTACTTATATCTTATCATTGACGTCCAATAGGATATTTACCAAATGTGGTTTCCTCGTGTGGCACATTTTGCATTGTTTATCACTAGCCTTATTTTCGAACGTACATAAAATACATGACCAGGCAGACATATCATTCAAAGATAAATATCTCGGTAAAGTTGTATCTTGTCGTTGACATATCTGACATATAGGATAAGCTGTCTTTGGATTCTCAAAAGAACATGTTGAACATAACCATTTTTTATTCTTCTCTATAAAGTTAAATACAAATCCCTTACTCCTAGAATTGTGATATGGACGATATAAATAATTCTGCGTATGTTATTTATCTTTTTTCTTATCAAATTGCAAGACTAGATAAATATGTTGATAGTTGTAAAAGCAAAAAATATGTAGGAGAGAATGAATTGACAAAATATATAAAACTCTTATATTAACTGGGTGGATGTGGGTCTGGGGTGTGAGTGGGGGTGTCGGTGGGGTGTGGGTGTGGGTGTGAGTGTGAGGTGTGGTTGTAAGTGTGGGGCGTAGCTGTGTCGGTGTGGGTGGAGTGTGGGTATGGGAGCGGGTGTGAGTGTGGGGTGTGGGTGTGCCAGTGTGAGTGCGGGGCGTGGGTGTGTGGTGTGGGTGTGTGGGTGTGAGTGTGGGGTGTGGGGTGTGGGTGTGCCAGTGTGAGTGTGGGGCATGGGTGTGTGGGTGTGGGTGAGTGTGGGGTGTGTTGATGTGGGTGTTTATTTTGCCTTCATTCCTACTGACAC